TTTATAGGGATATGTGTCTTATATTAAGCCCTACCGTTTGCGTTGCAAGTATCAAATTGATCCATTTTTCAAGGGGCCAATAATGCTATACAGCCAAGGCCCCTCACAATCTATGTATTACATAATTGTGTTGCATAATATAGAAATAAATAACAATAATCTAAAATCCTTTTTTATTCAAACTCAAACGAGTGAAGTCGAATATCATTTTTATCTGATTACGTGACAACATCCGATATATCGTATTTTGTAATTTACGCAAAAAAACATCTGATTAGATGCACTTTCTTGGAAAACGTTTTATATGCTCGTCCAACCTACTCAATCTTGAGTTATTTATTAAGTACGTACAGTGATTGATTTTATAATTTATCAAGACTTGCTATAACCAGGAGTTGGGTATGTAAATACTATTTCAAACATTATTGGCGAAGCCAAGCACGAGGTAGGCAATGCGAACGCCCTACACGATTTTACAAATATATATATATATTTTGGACATTTTTCAAAGTGAGACATTACGATGTATAACTTAATGGCGGTGTTATACATTATCTGAAATCACATGTTCAATGATACATATTTTAACAAAAAAAACAATTTCGCGAGACAGTTAAAACTCACAATAAAGCGATATTACAAAAGTTAGGACGTTTCGATCTTTGGGTAAATAGCGAGACCAACCAAGGGCTAATTTAATACCCGGGCCTCAGTATGTGTGCCAAACGAAATGAAACGACATCGTCAGAGCGGACGTAGAATACATTGAAATTGCGAACGAGCCACGTTCCGAAGATCACGTTCGTCCTTAGACCAACATGTAAGGAAACAACCTCATGGACATCTAGCTTGTCTTCATGTTTTAGAAGTAGATTTTTACATTGATAGGACACTCCAGCAATTGCGACTACAATGGCAAGTACTACTGCCCCATCACTGATGGATATTACGACGTCGCTTTCCAATGGTACATCAACATGCGGTGCGGAAAATGATTTCAACGTCGTTGCATTCGTTGTGTTAATCGTCTTCTATGTAGTCATACTCGCTATCGGTAAGTTACTCGTTTTCTATAGTTTCATACTCGCTATTGGTAAATCACTCGTTTTCTATATAATCACACTCGTTATTCGTAAGTCTCGCATTTTTCAAATGATCATACTCGCCAGAGCTCTAGCATTATTTTTGTAACTTTGGTGCTTCATCATCAAAAAAAAGTTGAGAATAATTTTGGCTTATCTCATTTCTTGTCATGTCTGTTTTTTAAAGATACCCAGAGAATATACTTTAGAAGAACTGAAGATTTTTACAATAATGCAATCATTTGTCTATAAGAATGGTTACCATTCTTATTATTTGGGAGAATTAAATATTTCTCCCCATTTTTGCACTTGAATTTGAATTTTAAATAACTACCAATTAATAACATATTACGGATCTTTTGGGAGATATTACATTTTAGCTTGTAAGGAACACATTGATAGATCAATTTAACATGTTGTCTGCAGTTTTATAGTTCGGTATTAAAAAAACTCTGATGAATAATTTTTAATTGCCAAACACAATCAATGGAAGTTAACCCGCTCATTGGTCAGTTGTTATTATTCTTTTTATATATGCTAACATTCGTTACAAGTAATTCGATTTTCAAACTCACATGCCAGTCATTCAGTTTTTATATGCTTAAATACTCCATCTTTGTTGTTAGTCATTCTTTTCATTGAATGAGACTCATAAATAAAGTTAGTCGCCTTTAAAAGTTGACCGGACTGACCCAATTCTGATCTGTTTGAGATATAGTTTTTAGTTTTTATGGTTTCTTTTTTTGAAATAATACTTACTTCGAAAAATGGAATTACCCACAAGATATTATGATTTTTTAAAACCATCCAATCTTCAAAATATAATTAAAAATATAAAAATCCTTCAACGAATATCAATCTAAATTATTTGAAATACTCCCATAAAAATGTCCACATGCATAGCGTATTATTACTTCAGGTGTAATAGCGGGGAAGCTTTTCAAGGTAGAGGGCGCCAGCGACACAGATTTACAGGTGGTAGCGGGTAGAAATCTTGGATGGATTGTGGGCACAATGACCATGGCAGGTGAGTTTTTGTCTATGTCACCTCAAGGATGTAGTGACATATTATGTCACCTCTAGGAAGTGGATATACATTTTTATCGCCATTATTTAATAGCAGCCGTTTGCTGTTCAGTAATAATACCTCAATTCAGAAAAAAACATTTTGTGAGAAGGAAAAATTACCTTCTCAAAGTACATCATTGCATTACTCATCGAAAATCGTTTATTCTGAATATGATACGCATGTACTTTACACATCGTGACATTTGTTTTACTTGGAATGTAAAACTAGCAGCGATTAAAGATGCACCAAAGAATAGTGACAAGTTGAATGTTTGATTCTTGCAATATTTTTGATGATATGGATGTATTTTATGATACTACTTGGTTTTATATTAGCTTTTCTGACGGTCAGAAATATTTTAAAATTGTAAATTGCGATTAAAATAGGAAGATTTGGTCGTATTTAGCAGTATTTTGAAAACTATAATCATAGAATATCTCTGATCTCACATGGGGGAGCAGAATGAGCGATACCGCAAACAATCCGGGGTCTACATATTTCCTTGTGAGAACCCTGTATTGATATTTTAACTTTTGAAATGGCCTTTATCTTTAAAATGACCTTGAACGTTCAGTTTACCTTGACCTAGATACTAGATGACATCAACCTCCAACATGACCTTGACTAATCAGGCAACTGGCCGTCCTGATATACAGGGTGGACCAAGAACCGTCAACATTTTTTCTTTGGCGATAACCTTTTGCATATGTTTTAAAAATATTTATGACTGAGGTACAAGAATCAATTCTGCACATGTTTCTGAAATAAGATAAATACAGTAAATCTTCAAGGGGTTTCAGAGATCGGATTTTAATAAGAGATATACAATTCTCAGAATGCTATTCAAAGCAAATGTATTAAGACCAGTAGGGAAGATTCGATTGACTGGCCCAATGCCGAAAAACGGAAGTGAGAGGCCGAAGTCTGGGTGAAAAATTAAAAAAACAAGTTTTTAATTTATGGACTCATTCAAGCACCTTACTGATCTTGAAATAATACAAGACTTTACTGAAATCTGAAATCTTTATATTTCCAAATCGACCCCCCAGTACTGTTTCCTTTTTTCAGAAACCTTTACAGATTCATTAATCCTATTTGAAGAATAATGGCAAAAGTGGTTCCTGCAACCCCTACAAAAATGGACCACAATCCATGAATTATATTAAAATGAAAAATATGGACGTTTTTGGCTCACACTGTATCTGAGATTTCATTGAAGCATTATGATTCGATACATTACCCGCGATGATTAATATATGAAAATTCCAAGCTTTCTGAGTAGGTTGTACACGAACCTTGACAGTGACGATTCGTGAAGAGCTATACTATACTGTAACTTCCTGGAATGCTAATAATATATTTTTAATTGTACCAGTATATATAGGATATTAATATCACTCAGATATCAAATGTACTTTTTACAAGCGGTAGCTGTGGTCTGTGTACACTCCCTTCCATAAGTTTCACAACTGGGAGTTCCTATGTTGATCACTTGTCAAAGCTTGTATATGTATGGCGATTTATAATCCTTGGAGTCATGAATTTTCAAGCTACTGTAATGACGATTTTTAGTCATGAATTTTCAATCTGTGATAGTTTGTTTTGTTTAAAATAGTTTATTTTTGTGTCACTGACATTACAATATACATATAAAATACATAATAAAAACAACATTTTGTAACATCACCAGCCGGTGCCGACTTATGAGACACAGTATACATTATATCTGAGTGTCACCCATTACTACCCCCAATGGGCAGCTTGGGTCAACACTCATAAAGACAGAGACAAAAAATGTCCCTGGTAAAAATTTATACATGATTAATAACCAATGATATAAATTCAGTCTGATTAATCAGTTTGGCATAAATAAATAAGCAGTTCATGGAATGATATTGTCAATCATAATATTAAATACATATATTGCACTAAATGAGAGTAGCATGTTGCATATTGTCAAAAATTACAATAAATACAAATATCGCACTAAATGTGAATTGTATCATGCATATGGTCGAAGACTGTTATAACAATAAATTCATATATTGCACTTAATGTAAGTAGCATGTTGCACTATGGTCAAAAATTACAATAAATATAAACATTGCACTAAATGTGAAATACACAATGCATCGGTTGAAGACAAATATTACAATAAATACATGTATTGCACTAAATGTGAGATGCATATTGCATGATAAATACATATATTGCACTAAATGTAAGTAGTATATTGCATATGGTCAAATATTACAATTAATATGAATATTGCACTAAATGTGAAATACATAATGCATATGTTTGAAGACAAATATTACAATAAATGCATATATTGCACTAAATGTGAGATGCATATTGAGTAATAAATACATATATTGCACTAAATGTGATTTGCATGAGCAGTGAATAAATAAAAAAGAACCCCATAGATAATATACACCTCCGCAGTAGTGAATTGAGACCATCTTCCCCAAGGTTGATAGCTCGAAGCACTAAAAAGAGGCATCATAAAACCAAGGAGTTTCTGACTAGATACATTTTAAATAAATATTTTATAAAGGAAATTTAGGTGACATGCATACTCATTTAGTGATTATAGCCTATCAATATTAAGAGATCTCTTATTGCACATATTATAAACTAAAGCTCCTAATGGTCTTTGGAGTGAAGTACAATTCATAATGGAGACAAACAGAAGTGTAGTGATAGTTATTAGGATCAAAATTGGGATTAAAAAATTAGCGGGCTTTAGTATGCTATTAAATGACAAATTTAATTGCCAAACGTATTGAAGGGAGTGTTGACAGAAGACTTTGATTCAATTAAAGAGTCAACAAATCTTATTCAGCCTAAATAATCTTGAATTATGTATAGTCATTATAAAATGTTAAAATTTCCGAATTTTCGATTTATTCATATATCTTCATCAGGTAAACTGAAAACATCGAAAATTCGTAATTTTTTACGTTTTGTTTTGAATTTAACACTTCAGTTGTTTAAAATTGTTGTTGTTTTATGTCGCAGTTGCGCATGACGTCATCGTTTTATGCTTTTTTATTTTAGCCACTTATGCCGGAGGGGGATATCTGAACGGCCTCGCTGAATTGGTTTCCACACCTGGATTGGGACTTGTATGGAGCGTGTCACCTATATGTGTCTTCATTGGGACAGGGATCGGTAATACAATTTTTTTATAATTTTTTTTTTATAATTTTTTTTCAAAGAATAAGCATGTTAAAGCAATTGCAAAAAACAATTACAATACAGTTACATGGTAAACATACATTTTACAATTTTACAGCATTGGTTAAACGTTAGTCTTTAAGAAATGTTATATACCATTGGCAATCTTTTTTATTTAAATGAAAAATAATAATACAATTGTTAGAAAACAGAGTGGAGGTCATTTTTGGCGTACCACCCGTATTGGATAAAGGACGATAAAAGAAATGTTAAGATAAAATTAGCAATACAACAAATTGACAATTTTTCCCTTTCGAGATGACAAAAGGACCAACCTTGCTGCCATCTTTAAAAAGCCGAAAGTCATGGTTTTAAAACTAACTTTGATTTCTGCCATTATACAAGTATTGTTCATATCAACATTTAAAAAAATAACATTTATTTGAATCGATCATATCATTGGATATCTTAAACTACTATTACTAGGTGGTACGTTTTTTGGGGCCCCGCTGCGTAAACAAGAATGTTTGACAATGTTGGATCCATTTGTGCAGAGGTTTGGCAAAATCGCCGCAACTTTATTGTTCCTTATCACGCTGATTGGTGACATTTTCTGGTCTGCATCTATATTAAGAGCTCTAGGTAGGTATTTTTGGTGCCTAGTATATGTTTGTTTCTGAGGTTCGGTGGTTCTGAAAGCAAGGGGTCGTAAGTTCGGTCCCAACTGAGATGGACTCACATCAGCCCTGAACACAGAATTTTATAGTTTTCGCTAACTATACTTATTTATATTTTGGCTGTCTAGCAACTACTTTAGGATCATATCCCGATTACAGCAAATAGATTGTTCTATTATTCACATCCCATTCTTTTATTGCGTTATTATGGTATACTGCATAACTAATTATAAAGTTGTACTGAATTAATTAAAAACATATTTCTTAGGAAATTGATATAAATTATACAAATCATTTACAAAATTATAGAGGTCAGCGAGGCAGCAACGTTCATATTGGTAACTTTCAGACACATCGTCATGGATATCATATGATTCATATGGATAACATTTGATTCATATTCTATAAAACTAATTTTATTATTAGGAACCAGTTTAAGTATTATAGTTGGACTAGACGTCTGGCTTGCTATTGTGATATCAGGGGGAGTTGCCATTCTATACACTGTCGTTGGAGCCATGATTGCAGTCGCATATACAGACGTTGTTGAACTTGTATTCGTTATAGTTGGCTTTGTAAGTATATCCATTAATAAAATAAAGTGATGATCATCCATGTCCTGCTACCAAAAATGGCCGAGTGAAATTCTTTCGGGTTAAATCAGTGAGTTAGGGTAAGGGCTATATTTGACGATCTTCGGTTTCGGCTGCAGATTTTGCTTTTGGGTTTTAAATATGAAAAAGTTTTCCATTTAAAAGGAAATCTGGACTGCACTCCTAACTATCTACCGAAATAAAATCAATTATAGCCGTACACGCTACAACAAGGAGAATAAACAGAAATTAGGGAGATCGCACTGTTGTTATTTGCCCGATTAAATATGAAGGTGACAGGAAAAAAGTTGTAATAAGGTCCCCGTTTAAATCATTTGAGAAGTGGACTACCTGATTGTCTAATATCACACGTTTGGCCTACGTTAAAGCTCCGCCAAATGCGTGTAACATAACCTCTCTATGGTAAACAAAAAGTACGCCAACGTGTAATATTTTGACTCCAAGGAACAACTTTTCCCTTCTCGATTGTTTTTAATATTGATCTTAATTCTGTTCGTAATTCCAGTGTATTACAATCCCTTTCGCACTTCAACATAAATCAGTGGACGTCATTGCTTCAACAGACGCCTACCTTGGGGAAATTAATACGATTAACATGTGGATGTGGATTGATTATGCTCTTCTTTATGTAAGTGAATATTTACTATCCATCGGGTCAATTATAGTCTTCTTCATATGAATGACAGTTTAACTTTGGATATTATATTATGCTATTATGTAACCCCCCTATCACACCAAACTAGTTCTTACCCGTTCTTGCCAGTCCTACGAAAACGTCGTAAAACGGGCTCAATCTGGCCGTAATCGGGAAATATGTCTGAAATAATTAGCTTCTTCGTTCTTAAACAGTCTTCAATACGTCCATCTCGTTCGCAGTTCGTTCAGGTCGCACCACGTCGGTGTGCAACGTCGTAGAACGCGTCCCTTAGTCTAGAAGGTCAACATGACCTGATTACAGAACGGTATGGTCGCCATCGAATTTTGAATCGATTCAAAATTCTAAAATCACATTCCCGTCTGAGAACGTTCATAAAGTTCGTAAATAGACCTTAGAAAGTTGCAGCTACGTTCATTTCGTTCGCACACAGTTTAAAACCAGTTTTGAAGAACGCAGTGGCAACTTGTTTGGTGTGATAGCTACATTTTTGCTAACTCGTTAATAAGCAGTGTTAAATACGTTCTTAATCAGTTTAAACCCGTTTGCAATTAGTTCTACCTCGTTCTCAACACGTCCTCAGACAGTTCAACTCGTTGTTAAAACGTCCCTAGTAGGATTGAAGTACGACGGTTCCGTTCGTAGTACGTCCAGCTCGTCGTTAGTACGTTGTCACTCGTTCTAATTGTAGAACGTGACGACCACGAGAACATTTTGAGCATTGTCTAAGTTCTAGAGGACCTACCCGTTCGAGTACGTTCGATGAAGTTTGTAAATAGATCCCAAACGGTTCTTAGTAGGTCTAGTCCGTTCGTACACAGTTGAAACCCGTTTTCGAGAACGTAGTGAGAACTAGTTTGGTGTGATAGTAGGGTTAGTAAATATTTACATTTTACTTCAAATGATGAGCATTTCACATAAGATAAAAATATTGCTTATTGAGAATGTTTTTGATTACTTAATCTCTTACATTCTTAAATTGTTGCAAATTATAACCATGGTTGTCCTTGCGATACACTTATGACTATATTGAATGTCTTTAAGTGTTTTTACTGCTCAAATAAAGAGGAGGGAAAGCCTCAGAGCTTAAGAAATGAGAGACATAATTACATCTCTCGCTTACCACCTTCATTTGCTCGAATTTTCACCGGCTAGTTCCCAGAAACTACACTTCGATGTGATGTTTTAATTGATGTAGGCATATTCCATACATCTTTCTTTATCTTGATGTGAAATAAGGGACTATGATATTGGTTAACACACCAGAAGTGAACATAATATTATTTGAAGCGTATTTCGAAAAAATGAAGCCGCCATTGATGACGTCATAGCTTGTCGATTTTTAACCAATCGGAGATATATGTCATCTCAATACAATAAACGAATGTCATCTTTGAACTCTGGCTCAATTATCTATAAGCTTTTATTGAACAGCTCTTCGGTGGTATTCCATGGGCGTCCACGCAACAGAGGTTCCTTTCAGCAAAGTCGGCGACACACGCTGTTGTGATGGGTTGGTTGGGAGGATTCATTGTTCTTATTATAGGAGCGGCACCTATTGGCATGGGAATTATTGGGCTCTCAGCAAGTAAGCAATTAATTCTTCACCACGGACGTAAATAGAACAAAATGAGTGAGAAGGCGATTACTTAGGCGAATTTGATGGCGATTGATGGCTTCTAGACTGGCATTAAATGTAGTTCGCATAACTGAATTTCAGTTTTGATCTTAGAAGGCAACCCCTTTGCGTTATACAAACAGTCAAATTTTTACATAAATATACTCTTAATCCCAAGTCAGGGCAAACGAACTTAAATGTTATACGTAGTTGGGTGGCTCGCTTTTGGAAAGTTTACTATGTGATGTGAGAAATGAGTGAACTGATTCTATTTATAGACTGGAGCAGAACAGAATTGTGCGAGGATCCCGTTGCTATGGGACAACAAGCTATGATGCTTCCCTACGTCATTTATTATCTAACACCATACGCTGTGTCAGTCGTAGGTATGTATATTAACTGTGATATACAGGATGTTTCATATGTATGCACTTCCCTCTAAAATCATATATGTAGCTACCCAAACATGTTATATATCATTTTGTTCCTCATAGCTAGTTACATAAGATTCAAAATTCAGAGGTGTCTTTCAAAAAAGCACGGACCTGAAGAAAAGTAAAGTAAAGTCTTAAGTCCGTGAAAAAAGATATAATGTATCAAGTATCGAAGTATGTGAGTACGGGGTCATTTAGGGGCATTTTCTGGTCGTGCACATTTCTAGCAGTCCATTTATGCAGTGCCTTATGTTTAGGTCAGGGACTATATGCAACCACTTTAATTACAAAAAATGGGTAACAAAAAAATGAACAGATCACCAGACTAGGCCCAAAAAACTTACAAAAATGATCATAAATTACCCCGTACCCGCATACTTTGATACATTGTATCTTTTTTCAGGGACGCCCCTTGATTTTGAAAGTTTGCAATCATATGTAACTTTTCATAATTAGGAAGAAAATGATGTGTATGTATGGTTTTAAAGGGGGTGCACACATGTGAAACATCCTATAGGATGTCCAGTTGGCAACTGAGCTTCAATACCCAAAACAACCGTTAATGCAATTATTATGGGGACATAAGAAAAATGTCAATTCGCATAATTCAAATCAAGACGCATCATGAAACCATCGCTCTCCCTATTCTATTAAACATAACCGTCGCATGGGATTTATTTTATTTTATTTTCCAGGTTTAGGTGCATTGGCGGCAGCCGTGATGTCTTCCGTGGATTCGTCCGTGTTAAGTTCGAGTTCAATGTTCACCCATAATATCTTCAAAACATTTTACGAATTAGCCAATAGAAAGCGGGTAAATAATTGATAAGTTCCCATCGTATTTTTTGAAATTTTTGATAGTATTTTCAAATCACTGCAACGTAAGTAATGCTGTATTGATTAAAATGTTAAATGAAACCAAAAATGGTATAACATCTCAAGCGCATGTAGTAAATTCGACATAACGTCTATACATCCTATCATGTGTAAAATTCGAGCATTCTTTACTTTTAGGCGTCTCAGAAACTACTGCTCTGGATAAACAGGGCAGCCATTCTCGTAGTGGGAGTATTAGCATCCCTGGTCGCCATCTTTACTACATCCATATTTGGCATGATCACCATGGCAGTAGACATCGTATACGTCACAATGCTCCCACAGCTGATTTGTTCAATTTACATTCCCTTTACCAATGGTTACGGAGCTCTAACTGGAAGCGTACTTGCGTTGATTATACGATTAGGGGCAGGCGATGCGTTCATCAACCTTGACCCCGTCATTCCATTTCCCGGTTGGATACCTGGCGTTGGTAATTTGTTTCCAGTACGTCTACTCTCAGTCACACTGTGTTTTTTCGTGACACTAATCGTGTCAGCTATTTTCAAATACATGTTCGAATCAAAATGCATACCTGTCAAGTATGACATTTTTGAAGCAACGCATACATTTGAAGTTGATTGGATCGAGGAGACAGAGCATGTAAAGACAGACGACGCCGTATTCGAACGCGAAGATCATGCACATGACAATTTGGCAATGACGCATGTCGATCAGGAATTTAACAAAAAAGCTGATTTAAAACTTGATGGCGATAAAAAGAAGATGTCAATGGATGGATATGAAACTTACCGATTCCGAAGTAACGGTGCGAAATGGGATCCTGAATATGCCGAAAAGAAGGATTTTACACACATATAAAACTCAATACATAATAGATAGTACAGTAACTTTGACGTTGTTGTACATCTATTTATATATTAGGTATTGTAATATAATACGGAACGTCACAATAGCTAATACAATTGATTTACTGATCTATATTGGGTTATGTATGACCGCTAAAATTCATAAATGCAAATAGTGTTAGTGTCTTAATAAATTATTCGTAAAACAATAGTTGTACTTTATATTACCATTCTCAATTGTAATAAAATTTGTCCTACCACCGCACAAATTGACTAGTTTACATATTGTTGCGCTTACAAAATAAAAGCACCACCCAACATAATGATTTATAAAAATCAAAGAGCATATGAACAAAAACAACAAAGATGGAATGCAAACGTACCAAAGAAGGCGTTAAAGTAAATGTTTATCTGTGAAATCATTTGTGCAAGATTTATAAAAACGGCCAGTTTTATTAACTTCGTCAAACATTTGTCATAATCGTCTAAAGTTTTGCAAAGTATTGCTACTTCCTACGTTGCACTAAAACAAGACCCTGGCATTTATCAAGTTGGTATTTTACTATTTTTAAATACTTTTGATATAAATAATGGTGCTCGACAATTTACATTTTTGATGTAAGGACACAATATTAGAGAAGCTTCACACAACTGGTTAACACTAATGTCTGCAACCTTTTTTCATAACACCAAGTCGCAAGGAGGGGGTCATTTGGACCCCCCTGCGATTTTTATTACTTGTCTGATTTCATTATTGTTGGTATTGTTGTAAACCTTATTCAATTACCTCTTCAGAGATGTTTTATTTTCTTAAAAAGTCAATATAGGTCAAGTCGAAGTCAACGTGGCCTAGGGGTGTAAATTTTTGACATTTCATGGTAAATTCTTTCACAATGAATTTTTTATTCCAAAAAGTGCTTCGCTGCCTTAAAGAATAATCTATTATCTTTGAAATAAAACTAAAATCAATCAAAAAGCTTTTTTACAACTGAAATTGCACACTTTCAAAGATAACAGGTAGCGCGAAATCCGATTAAAATCAATATAACGTAAATTTGAATAGTCTGCAATTTTAAGTTCAACTTGTTTTTATCTTTAGCATATTTCAAGTTGTACCTTTAAAAAATCACAACACGGTCAATTATGGCTCGATTTTTATGAAATGAAGCATATTGGAAAGGGAATTCTATATGCTAAATCATTATCTATCAAACAAAGCAATATTCATCTATTGTATTTTCTAGAGCATTAGAAACAAAGTATCAATCAATATTTTATGAATTTCAATTTTGTGTGCATCATGTTCTTAATATTATTATTTTGTCACTCCACCCCAAATCACTTTTGTTTTTACGTCGAAAAGTTTCTTATATCTGTGTCCCAAGCCAAAAAATAACAGAGGCGCAAAAATTGCAAAAAGTACTCTTGAAAAAATCGAGAGGGGTCTGGGATTGCCCCCCCCCCCCCCTGCAGACATTAGGGTTAAAGCTAAAACGTATTGGATTTTAGATACGTTCAGTGTACGTATACGTACGTACTTCAAATTATGTATCTAATTTGCCGATTTAATTATATTATAAACGCATGTAACATTTTTAATTCCCTTTATTCCATGGTTGCATCACTTCTCTAAACACAGCCTGAGAATAGTTTCTAAACTTGTTTTTAATTCAACAATCACTTGTTATTCTAAACACGTCGCAAAAGTTTATTACTTTTTAAACATATTACTGTGCGCTGTGAGTTTCACGAGCAAATAATGGACTGTCCTTGTGGATTAATTTATCACCATTTTTTGTTGAACCTGCTGATTCAAAACAGAACAGAAATATTGAAACGTAGACCTCTGTTTTAAGGCCGCTGTTACAATTTCTTCGGAGCGGCGATTTTACAATCTGCACTAGCGGTCGAAAATTTAAGGCGGTAAGTTAAACCAAAGTTCTTAATTTTGACCCTAATTTTTTCGAGGGAATCAAATAGACCCCCGTTTTGTGCCATCGTTATTTTCTACCTTGAGCCAAAGATAAATGACACCGTTTTAAAGTAAAATTCAAGGTAATTCGGGGAAGGTTATGGTAGTCTGAAGTTTATGCCAATAAAAATGAAGTTCACCACTCTTAAAAATGAATTACTTGAGTATTTCCCAAGTATTTCCCAAGTATAAAAATTACTTAAAGTGAAATACTTAGTTTACTTCATTTTACTTAGGTTTAACTTATATTGTCATTTTGAGTTTTTTAATTGCTTAATTATGTAAATGAGTATTACTTATTACTACAGTAAGTATTTCAATTTCTCTCCTTGCATTAGTAAATTCACCATAAATGAATTACTTAAAAATTACTTAAAAATTATTCAGTAGTTCAAGATTATTTAAGTAATTTTTGACTTAAAATGAGTAGTACAATTTCTCAATATAAGGAAATCCAAGTAATAATTTTAAGAGTGACAAAGTTTGATAATTATCTAGTTTTTAATGCTGTGCAAAATACAAAGTGATCATCATAATCAATTAACACATTGAATTAACTTTCCAATATACTTAATAATTTCATGAGTATCGAGCCACTTACAGGCCGATGGAACATGCCAATGGACAGGACACTCCAGAGGGGAAATTTTTTTTTAAAACTATTTTCCGAAATGTGGCAGTCACTCTTTGTTTTACTACAGTATATACCTCATATGTACTCTGTAAACAAAAATAAAATGAGAAGTCCTTTCATTTGAACAGTTTATGCTTACAGGTTCTTATTGGCATTTAAAGGCATTTTGCCTTTCAACTCCTATAATCTCAGCTATCGGGGAAGATAAAACGTACTAATAACTGGTCACATGACCTAACAGGTGATTAGTACGTTTCATCTTTCCTGATAGCAGGGATTAAGGACTTCCTAAGGAAATTTATTTCATATCATGTGACCATGAATAAGCCAATGAGCATCTAGAATACATATGAGATATATTATGAATTTTAATAAAAAAAAGATATGAGGCTATTAAAACTCTCAATAAAAATATATCATGAGAGATATGAAATTTGATCTGGAGGAATTTAGTGAGATCACGGTGTGAAGTAATACTGTTTGAATTAATTGTTTAGATATATTCAAAATTGATACGCATTAAAAATGGCAAGTACTACCGCCTTATCACTGATGGAACTGACGACGTCGCCCTCCAATGGTACATCAACCTGTGGTGGCATAAGTGATTTTAACGTGGTGGCATTTGTGGTGTTGATCGTCTTCTACATAATCATACTTGCTATAGGTAAGTGTTACTCGCATTCTATATGAATATGTGCAATTGTCACATTGATATGAAAAGGTCATTGAAGGTCAAATCTTGAATATAAAGTCAGATTTTAACTTCTGAAAACATGTAGCTGATATTGAAAACAATTGAATCACTCTATACAGTAATCGTTAAATCAATGGAAGTTTTAGGAATTTGTTACAGACGCCGACCTCCGACTACCAATCGCCATCCACTAACTGCCGACCGCCGTCAAAAAAACGGAGACCATAACGATATGTCACCACTTTTTGGTGGTGACATGAAACCTTTTAAAATTATATATATTCCTCTAAATGTAACTAACAATTTAATGTCAGGTTTAAGAAGATCCCCTTATTGAACACGTTGCTGGGCAATGGATTTCTCATATTTATGACATCAATTTATGGTAGAAATAGTCACATCCGAGAATTTGGTAGTAGCTCTATTCAATCCTTTCTGAGTTTTTACCATATTTATGAAATTCTTTGAAATTGTCTCAATTCATTCAAAGTATAGTTATCTATACCTCTGAATGTTGATGAAGGACAGTGCACTTTTTATTGATAGAGAGTAGATGATTTATATTTGGTATATTTGGTAATATCAATCTTCATATTATGTGTAATAGTAAATCACACAATTTTTCCATGATGTGATGGTATTATTCCAGGTGTTATGGCTGGAAAATTGGTTAAAGTAGAGGGCGCCAGTGACACAGATTTACAGGTGTTGGCGGGCAGGAATCTTGGTTGGATTGTGGGCACAATGACCATTGCAGGTTTGCTTGGTCAAATAACGGCAGTCTGCCACTTTTTTTATCACATCTTTGTCATTTTAAAGAATTTTGCGTTTGTACAAAGTTTTCTACCAAGCCATTCTATTTGATGACCATTAGACTGATAGTCTTAATTTTTCAGTATTTAAATTGAAAGAAAAGTCTCATGCTTTCAATATTTGAAGGCATAACACTTTGTTCAAAATTCTATATTCTCAGAAAGTTTGGGCCGAGGTCATATGAATTGTGAAAATTACACATTGTTATAAATCAACAATCTTAAGGGGTATTAAGAAGGGATCGCATCAATTATAGCCATTTGAAATTTTAAATATCTGCGGTTACGTACTAACGTTAATGGAGAGGTTAAGCTAACGATGTTTTTCACAACGTAACCGTGAACGCAAAGTACAAAAATTAACAAAGAAATGTATCGAGCGCTCATAGTTTTATGCGCGCTTAGTCTACTTCAGATACTCTTTCAGCTTCAGAGTTTCGGGTTTAGAACGGGAGATTTGAAATTTGACGTTGGGTCAACGGGAACCATTTTACTCGTGTCTGTTGAACACTATGCTGTCAATTTTGATTTCGATGCACAGTTGAATTCTTGCTGAACACGATGATGTATGTCATGCATGATTTAGCGCCAAAAATCTTTCGAAACGAGCTCGTTTAAAATATGTATTAGACAACCAGCTATATAACCGCATCAATGACATACTATAGAATCATTACACGTTATCATAACTAAATTAATGTCATTGCTGAATTTATAAAATAAGTTTCCATACGTAAAATAAAAAATAATCGAAATTAAAATGGGACGGAGGGGGGGGGGAGCAATATGTATATAAGACATGATTAGAGATGTTTCGCGACTTTAAGTCCTTTTACTCCAAATGTCCCCATTTTTCAGTCTCCAGGGGTATATCATCCAGTTTCTTACTAAGTTAATGAATTCATTTTTCAAATACAAGAATTCGTGTGAAGTTGTTTCACTTTATAGAATTATTACTCGTCCCCCCTCCGTCCCCTCCCCCCCTCCGTCCCATTTTAATTATTTTCGATTATTTTTTATTTTACGTATGGAAACTTATTTTATAAATTCAGCAATGACATTAATTTGGTTATGATAACATCACTTACAAGTATTTATTACAGGTCGTGTAGTCCATTGTTGCTTGATTTATAGCAAAAACTTTGACTTTTGCACGTTGGTTGCGTTGCGCCTTTTTTAATAGATCTTATATCTTAAAAGAGTATCGGTTGAAAAATGATCCTAGAATACCTAACATATTTTATCATTCCGTGCGCTTATTCAATTTGCAATTCAATCGTAAACTCTGTCTTGAAAAAATAATTTTACCAGATTTGTTGAATTTTCTAGCGGAAATTGCCTGCTCCCCCCTCCGTCCCATTTTCACGATCACCGGGCGTGTATATGGTCGAGTGATACGTACAGGTTCAGTTTCGATTATATATGCAAAGCTTAACCTCTCCATTTTTAGTTTAAAACGTTAACCACATCTGTGTTGCCCATGACGTCAGACTTTCACTCATTTATATTTTAGCCACTTATGCAGGAGGGGGATTTCTGAACGGTCTCGCTGAATTGGTTTCTACCCCAGGATTGGGACTTGTCTGGAGTGTAGTTCCTGTATGCGCTATCTTCATAGGGTCAGGATTAGGTAATGTATTATGGAAGACACAGTCGAGACTTCTGATTTTCAACCGCTGCTTGGCGTTTCAACAGTTTATAGCCTAACAGGCGATATAAGTTACGTTAGGGATACACTATGTCGTGTCATGTCACGTCACGTCACGTCATGTTATGGGCATAGGGCATTTGGTTTAGGGAAAAATAATAATTCTCCAAAGAACCAAAACGAATAGTTAACCTAACAGAGGCTGCATTTTTGTTCATGCCTTTTTGACCGCGAGAAATATCTTAATCCTAAAATGTTGTTATACCACGATAAAATTTGCGAAATGCCGCTGTGTAAAACAATTGAATATTACGCAATCGTATCAAATTCACTTGCACCGCGGTCATTGAAAATACACCCTTAACCTAACCTTTACTGACTCTTATGATAGGTAAATTGTCAATAATCTAATCATAGAAAAAATGATTTCTTGGTAGCCCTGACAGAATTGTTCAAGGGTCACTTTTTATTTAACAACTTTTTTTAATTTTCAATATTTCTAAACACAAATTGCGTCATTCAAAGCGAGAGTAATATTTTGACATACGAAAATATATATTAAAACATCTCTCAATTTATTTATGTTATAAGCGTCCATAGTGTGAGTTTATGTTTAATAATTGCAGCAACTTTCATGAATTTTAATGTTCAGCCTGAGTTGAAAGTTAATATTTTTAATGTCAAAGGCCTTATTAGTCATGTTGACTGTTGCTTTGGTAATGGCTGCATTTTAAACCATTTGTCTTAATTAATTGACTTGTAAGTAAATTTGGAATCGTTTATACATTGTATGTACAGGTATATTGCTAGGGTTGCAGAACTTAATTGTTTTTTGGGCCATTATAACCCACAAAACTTTCTTTATGTGGCGATGTGTCAAATGTATGTCAAGAGACACGACAAGAACAATTCATTCACCAGTTTATGTAGTTAAAAGGAGGTCAATTGCACACTGAACGAAACCCGTTTAGTTCAACTTGAATTTTGCTTTCGCAGTTGATCAAAACTGAGATTACTTTCGACGATATCGAGTTGAGTGATTTTACAGGCTTTTGTATTTTGTCGAGGTAAGTTAGGGCCATAGTCATTCTTTAGGACAGATTTGATTTATTTTGGAATATTTTTAATGAATTAACTAAAAGTCATCGCCATTCAACCTTTTTTTACTATATTTCTGGTTACGCTGTTATCTTATTAGGTGGTTCGTTGTTTGGGGCCCCACTGCGAAAGCAAGAATGTTTGACAATGTTGGATCCATTCGTACAGAGATATGGGAAAATCGTGGCAACTTTATTATTTCTTGTCTCACTGATAAGTGATGTGTTTTGGTCTGCATCTATATTAAGAGCTCTAGGTAGGTACTTATAGGTATATTGTTTCTGCCTAGTAATTGCTTCGTTTCTGAAGCTTAGTTGTTCGGGAAGAGATGAGTCGTGGGTTCGATTCGACTGATTTCCTTACCTCAGCCAAGAGTTCAGAAGTTTTTATTAACTACTTATTTATATTTTGGCTGTCTAGCCATTGCAATAGATTTATGTGACGAACATATTCAAATTTATTCTCATCACATGTATTCATAATTGTATGATTAAATAGATAATCTTTAAAATTTCAGCATAATTATCTTCTAGCATTGTTGATATGGATTTATTATAAACGTCCTTGTTGCCCATGTTAATGTATGGGAAGGCCACTCATTTAGCTTTCTTAGACATATCAAAAGCGTTTAATGTGTTAGACTGCGATACATTGTTTTGCCACTTGTGGAAGGAAGTCCAAGGAGTTGGATAATTTTGGACAACAAATGCACAACATAAAGTAATGTTCGGAAATTTTGAAACCGATCATTTTGGTAGTCAGTATGGTCCCAAGCAGAGGGGGTTAATATATATGAACTAAACAAGTAATTTACAAAAATGTATACTAGTAGTACACTGCTTTATTTATTAGGTACTAGTTTAAGTATCATAGTTGGATTAGAGATTTGGATAGCTGTTGTGATATCAGGGGGATTTGCCATTTTTTACACTGTTGTCGGCGCCATGATAGCAGTCGCATATACGGACGTTGTTGAGCTTGGAATCGTCATAGTTGGATTTGTAAGTAATTCCGGCTACATAGCGCGATAGAAAGATGGCAGAGTTATTCATGGGTTAAAAATGATTTTCCATCAGAGAACACTTGTCCATAGTAGAACTCCGGAATATGAAGAATCCGTAACACAATATAAAGTAACATATAAACCAATATTTAAGGAGGTGCATATGTCTTGATCTACATTTTTGACATTACTGGTGGTAATCATCACAATTTTGGTGAATTTCAAAACCATTTTTTCAAAAACTTCATGCTCTCTTCTGCCGGGTCTTGGCAGCAGATCAATATCTGACTTGGGGCAAAATAATTTCAGCCGTAGCCGCAGTTAGTTAGGGAAGAATAAGAAGTCCCCATTTAATGACAGTTGACCCCTTACGATAACAGCCCATATCTCAAAATGTAATAAGACCCATTTTCTAAAAAAACTTCTATTTTAGCATATAACATTATATTATAAAAACGATTCATTGATTCCATTTACATCACTAATATTGCAGAAACAATTCAAAATGTAGATGAACAAATTACGCAATTTGTTCATATTTAAAGATGTATGTTTATGTTTTATTTCTTACATTTACTCATTAGTTTATTTACTTATTACCCAATAAAATATTTTCAATAACGGTTGAGTGTTGTAGTTAAATCCGTTAAATGCATTTTAGGACATGCCTATTTGTTTAACAGTGAACATTTGACTTGTCATATCTAAATAGGGGCCAAATGAATAAATAATTCATAAAATCTTAGTTGGGAGTTTTTTAACGAAAGTACAGTAGTAAACAAGGGGTGCTAGTTGGTTAGAATCACGGTGAAATGTTTGTTGTTTTTCCTCATGTTTATGTTTTTAGTTTCACTCCTTGCCCGAATGAGGATACAGTGTATATAATAGTTAGGTTTTTCCTTAAATGGAAAAAATAATCCCCGGGGGACATTAATTCTACGCGAAACAAAACGTATACATGTACATTAATGTGATATAAATATCGTTCTTTATTTCAGTGTATTACAATCCCTTTCGCACTTCAACATAAATCAGTGGACGTCATTGCTTCAACAGACGCCTACCTTGGGGAAATTAATACGATTAACATGTGGATGTGGATTGATTATGCTCTACTTTATGTAAGTGGCTATTTACAATTCATCGGATATATTTTATTAAATGTCGAGATGACCAAGAGGTCTCGCAGCTCGTCCGAACTCGACGTATACGTATACGTAGGTGCCGTAACCAAGAGGTAGCGAGTTCGAGACGCACGTGCTCTTCTGGTAGGTTAAGTACATATCAATAACCTGTACCTTATTGAGACGTAATATTGGTCCTTCGTACCATTAGGTCCAAGTTTGCAAATTCATCACTGTTAGTCTACTTCCTGCTTTCCAGACGTTCGGTCCTATCCCCTTGCCAGCCACGATGCAGAGATTCCTTTCAGCGAAAACGGCCAAGCATGCTGCCGTGATCGGATGGGTGGGAGGATTCATTGATCTCATCATAGGAGCGGCAGCTATCGGCATGGGGATAATTGGGCTCTCAGCTGGTAAGTTTAGTTCTTCTCAGGGCGCATTTGATGTCAATGAGCTTATAGACTGGCAATAGATGGCCTAAAATTCACCGGTTAGGATAACGTGTACGTTACGTAAACCTTAGAGCAGCCCCCTCCACTAAATATTACACAATCAGTCAGACTCTGGGAAAATCTCAGTTGTGAAGATTATAAATCATGACTATTGCTAAAATATTACTGTTAATTATTCATCTAATTGATATTTTGTTTTCTTTGTATGTTAACATGACTAGATCTTATATTATACGAGAAACACATGTTGAATCTATATATATTTATAACACCGTTATGAGGAACAAAATGCGCATTATCGTCATTTTTGGCAAAATGAAGTCTTAATTTTGGTCTTCATAATATATCCAATGGATCGACACTTACCTGATTTTTCAGTTGAAACCAAGTCGCCTTTTGGAAATTTTCTTTTAATATATTTTATTGTATTGAATAAAACATGATAAATGAAAAAAGGTAAAGCCAAAAACAGCTCAACAACTAGAGTTGACACTAGATTATCAAAAAAAGATTGCCAATCCATCAATTCATATATGTCAAGTTTTTAGCAATGCCAGTGAAAGGTGGCGACATTATCCATTTTTGATACAGTTTCAACCACATGCTGTGGTTATTTAAAACATTGTGAAAAGAGGTAATTCACTTATTTTGATCACTGAAGTTCGAACTTCAAATGCTATTTTCTATGCGAGTAATTTTTTCACTTCCGTATTAACCGAAATTAAAGATTTTATCATATTAATTGATTGTGTGAGTAACATATGTCTCCAATAATATTCTATCGTTTTTCTTCAAAAATAGGCATATTGCCTGTTTAAAGGGAGATTGCAGACCCACGATATTCAGAACTTAGACAAAAATAGGGGTAGACTTTATCCCTAACTTACATATAACATATAAGGAGTGGGAATATATGGTTTCTTTGAAGAGTCGTGTCTGGGATATTATGAAAACGGGATCGACTCGTTTTATTTTTAGACTGGAGCAAAACAGAATTGTGCGAGGATCCCGTTGCTATGGGACAACAAGCTATGATGCTTCCCTACGTCATTTATTATCTAACACCATATGCTGTGTCAGTTGTAGGTACGTATATTAATTGTACGGGGTGTCTAACGAGTGATTTTTAAAATGTGGTGATTTTTAAAATGGTGCGATTTTTAAAAATGTAACTTGTTAAAAGAAACTATGCACTGTAAAACTTTAAACGAGATGAAAATAAATCTTAAATATGAAGAAGTTTTGAAATTCAAGGGTTGGTTGAAGAAACGCGAATTAATATTTTGGTGTCAGGAAAATATATATACGAAATATTACATGAAACTCATATGGTTATATGAAATAGCAAGAATATGTGCACACGTTAAAAATCACGGTAGAAATCAGACCCGCAACCCTCCCCCTCCCACCCCACACCCCCCCCCCAAATGTTGGAAATCTCGAGAGTTCCATCTACATTAGTGAGTTTAAGCTTGCATATAAAATCGAAACGTCAACCTTTACATATGACCAATCGCCCATACAAATGCATCGCTCAAATATTTTCATTTTACGTTTAGGGTTGTGAAAAACTTAAGCTTAAACTTTCTAATATCTCAACACAACTATAAAATAATTATTATGATGCAATAAAAAGTAAGAACCATCGCTCACCCAGTTCTATTCGACAGCTTATCCTTTGCCTCACATCACAAACATATGAGGTTTATTTTCTTATTTCCAGGATTGGGTGCATTGGCGGCAGCAGTAATGTCTTCTGTAGATTCAGCAGTGTTAAGTTCGAGTTCCATGTTTACCCATAATATCTTCAAAACATTCTACGAATTATCCAATAGGAAACGGGTAAATGATTAGTTCCCCATATCTCCTTATGAAATTGTTAAAGGCGTCTTTATAAATATGATATTTATGTACAACGTATTTTCAAGTTATGTTTTATTAGTGACATTAACGGCATAAGAAAACCAAATCTACACCATGAGCCAATAGAAACAACACACACTGTGATAAATATCGCACTTTGAAGAGCAAATCAATCATAATGTAATTTAATAAGCAAGCCCAAATCTAGTTTGATAACGTTAGCCCTCGACATTTTAGACCTTAGTATGTGTTTAGTAATTAAGATGACCTATACAATTGAATTTAAAAATCAATTTCATTAAGAATCAACTTTTAAATATTGATGGTCAGACGAAGGTCAAATCCGGAATCGAAGGTCAGATTTGAAGCCCTGGGCACTTTTAGATGTTTTATCTTAAAAATCGGTCAATTTGAAGCAACTTAAAAATTTAAATAAATGAAAATGGCCATTATGGAGTTTAACCAGCATACCCACAACCTAATCAGATCTCATTCGGGTCTTTTGCTGTATCTGTTACTTTTTCAAGTTGAACGAATAAGTGGATATCCTTGAATTTTGGCGACAAGGTATATGGAAGAATTCAAAATAATCACCAAGTAATTTACACAGTACACCCAGGATACCCACCCACCCACCCACCTCATCATATGTTGGCACAAGTACGCTCTTGCATCTGTTTAACTTTCAAATTGAACACGTTAGAAGTTTTCCTAGAATTTTGATGACGTTTTCAAAGTGCGATAAAAACAGATGAGAAAAATGTTTTAGGATACGCTGTGCCTATACATCTCTAAAAGTGAAAAATAAGAAATTTTTCCAGTTAAAGACATTCAATCCAAGACCACGTGTTACCACGGAATGATCATATTGTGATCATCTTACATTCCGTGGTAACAGGTGGTTTTGGATTGTATGTCCTCAACTGTAAAAATAGTTAATTTGAAAGTATAATAAACGGCATTGACCTGCTCTGTTCGTGTACAACTAAATACCCGTAGCTGACAAATGAAATTGGTTCGGATTATTGAGGTCTTAAAACGTTTTCTTATTTTTTCAAGTTTTGGCGAATGTAAACAAAGGAAGTTATTTCGCTAAGGCTTTACAACCACTCAATCCTCAGCTTTACAATTGTTATATGTAGAAAGTAAAAAAAATCTCTGAGACTGTGCGCTGCTTTATTGCGTGCAGAACTATCTGTGGAACATAATCGCTATTTCTGTAGGGTATGGTCACCATTTTTACTGACACGATCAGTTATATTCCGTGGTTATTCAAA